ATTAGATCCATCCTATCTAGTCACTGTTTCGCGGTACGATTTTTTGGTCAATAAATAAGTGAACTGTTACTAAATTCTGCACTTAATTTTTTATTTCACTACAGGCTTAGACGCGGATTGCATAGTTTTACACGTTCAGTCTGTAAGGGAACAGAGGACAATGAAAACCGTACCACTCCGATCATTTCAAGAATTTCTAGGCAGCTCGGCTCGTTTCGGTGTGCCAACTGATGCCAGCTGGCGCAACCGTTTGTTGGCTAATCTGGTCTATTATCAGTCTAACTACTTTCTGATAGCCGTATGCATTTTTGTGCTATTAAGGTGAGTCGTGTGTTTGAAACGAAGATAATTCACAGCTTTCGGAATCCCACCTCCCTAGTGGTAGGACTTGGAATCACCTGTATCCCACTGGTGTTGTTCATGCTCGCCGATATTTCTCCTCAAACAGTGCGAAATCCAAAGGTCGCTTTACCCGTGATCATTGCATTATCATTATTGTTGCTCTATTCAATTAATCATTTAATTTTCTTTCTTGTTGCTATCCTCATCCCATGCCTCGGTAAGTTTGCAAGTTTCTCGGCCTACTAAATTTCATATTTTTTCAGTGATCGCCATGCATGCTTTATTGCGTCAAAGAAATATTAAAAGTAAATTCACGAAGTTCATTGATTCCAATCGATCGATCGACAACAAAACACCAATGGGATACATTCTTGAGGTTCTTGGAGCTGACACTAAATTGCTGCAAATAGAATTCGAATAACGACGCAATGGGCAATTACAAACACATGAATTCCGATTCTTTATGCAATGATTTATCCCAAATCGTCATCGCATTCAACTCATTTTTGACCGTTACAGCGCATCGTGTCTTCCTCTTCATTGTTTTGCCCGGATTATACTGCTTGTCACATTGTTTCTGACATAATACCTACTGGATACATAATTCATATGTATTTTGGTGTTTCCTGCTGTCATAGAATCTAGATTCGTTAATTTTCGACTCCATTTATATATGCACTCTTGCTTTCCAGCTGGGATAAAAACCTACGGCACGTACGCAGTTTCGTTCATAGTGAAATGAAAATCAGAATATTGATTGATTGATTTTCTTCGGTATTCCTTTCGACTTATCGTCCATATGTGCATGCGTTGTACGTTGACATGTGACCGGTAAGTTTTTTTGTCTAGATGGAGGACAGGTTGTTTAGTGCTTCGCTATTTCGAGATTGTCAATCACTCGTCTTCAAGGTAAACGTTATAAACTGAATTTTTTTCATTAGTTCGAATTCGGATCTCGTCCTTACCATCTGAGATTTTTTTGTATCTGAGGGAAGGGTTGTGAGTGTCGATGAGTTACGGATTGTAACCATGATGTTGTTGGAAAACGGCATTTAAAAATAGATGTCTGCTGTTAGAAAGCCCCGTATAAGTGATAAAGTGATCTATATTCTCACTGGATGGAATCAAATTCTCCAGTGCTTTTCCGCTTCTCTTTTAACCAAAAGCATANTATATATATATATATATATATATATATATATATATATATATATATATATATATATATACTTGTTTGAGTCCAGATAGTATCAAATGAATTACGTCACTTCAATCTTCATAACTCTCTATGGTTTACTCGTGGTTGGGATACTAATAGTTTGTTCAGACCAACGTAGGGGAATTTTTTTGATGGATTTGCTACCAGAAATATACGAAGGTAGTGAGTAAGGCTTCATCAACAGTGCCTATTCGACAGGCTTGGTCGCACTGTTGCATTTCGTTAGGTGCAAGTGAAGAGTGACCAGCCACCCTGGCCCATAACATACGGAGGCGTTAGTTCAATCATAAATAGCTATCAGCCCTCCGTAACTGCGGGCTGTTGGTTGCTTGATAAAATGACTTTTATCATCTTGAGTAACGTCTTCGCTGTTGGGGTCGACATCACAAGCAGGTTCATTCAATACGGAAATCTTACGTGGATTAGCTGATTAGTCTGATTGGAGAACGATTACATTTTCAATACATCTCTTGCTGATTCGCGCCAACAAAAACAGAATGGTTTGATTTCGAAACTTGTTAAATACAACTCTTCGAATAACCTACATCAGGCTGTAAAAGTGATTCACTTCATTCAAGAAACCACAGAAAAACATGCGAGCGAAATTGTACTGCACTAAAAAATGCAAGTGAACCAGATTCGAGGAACGACTAGCAGCGGATTCAGTACAAGCACCAAAGCGATTGTATGCCAACCTCAGGTGAAGAATCAGAGCAACGCCTGGTCTCCCGGCTCTCGCCAAAGATGGGGCACTAGCCGAAAAAGATGAGGACAAAGCGGAGATGCTGGTATCACATTATGCCTCAGTGTACACCCCAGACTCCTGCACATTGGCATATCTACTGGACACTGCGCCCCAGTTACCATCGGAGAGGTGACCCTGGAGCTGCGTCGACTAAAGGTTCACCAGTCACCTGGACCTGATGGTGTGCAT